TGGCGGGGTCGGGATGCAGGTGGCGGGGTCGGGATGCAGGTGGCGGGTCCCGGCGATGCCAGAGCGCGGTTTGGCGATGCCAGTGATGGGACAGCGGAGCGGCCGGGGTCAGGCTCCGAATCCAGCGGGCAGGAATTCCCGCGGCACCCAGCGGGGAGCAGGAGCCAAAGCAAACCTGGAGCCCAGCACGTCCCCGGCATGTGCTCCCAGGGCTGGGCTGGGGGGGGCGCAGCACTCGGCCCCCCCGCTCGCCCTGCGGCCCCCCCGGCTGGGGGTGAGCCCCCGGACCCGCATCCCGACCCGTCCGTGCGGCTCCCGCAGGGAAGTGGGGCAGCATCCGGGCCAGCGGCCGCATGAGCAGCTACGCCCTGAACGTGGAGATCGGGTCCCGCCTGGCCGGGAAGGACCTGCTGGGGGCCCAGCACAACGGGACCCCCGCCGAGACCGCCTTCCTGCGGCAGCACCGAGCCTCCCTCTACATCATCGGGGACAAGTCCCAGCTGAAGGTGACCCCACCCCCGGCACGGCCCCGCGGGGGAACAGGGCTGGGGAAAGGAAGGGAGCTGGGAAGGGGCTGGAGCAGCAGGAGGGGCTGAGGGAGCTGGGGGGGGCTCATCCTGGAGCAAAGGAGGCTCAGGGGGGACCTTGTGGCTCTGCAAGTCCCTGACAGGAGGGGGGAGCTGGGGGGGGTCGGGCTCTGCTGCCAGGGAACAAGGGACAGGCCAAGGGGAAACGGCCTCAAGCTGGGCCAGGGGAGGGTCAGGTTGGATGTTGGGAAAATTCCTCCATGGAAAGGGCTGTCCAGCCCTGGCACAGCTGCCCAGGGCAGGGATGGAGTCCCCATCCCTGGAGGGATTTCCAAGCCCTGTGGATGTGGCACTTGGGGACAGGGGTCAGTGGTGGCCTTGGCAGTGCTGGGGGAGGGTTGGAGTTGGTGATCTCAGAGGGCTTTTCCAACCTCGGTGATTCCATGATCCTGAGGGTGGTGGTGGCTCTGCTGGGGGTGTCCCTCAGGCCATCCTGACTCTCTGCTCCCACAGGGGGTGAAGCCGGACCCGCTGCAGCACTGGGAGGTGGTTCCCATCGAGGTGTTCGACGTGCGGCAGGTCAAGGCCAGCTTCAAGAAGCTGATGAAGGCCTGTGTGCCTGGCTGCCCCTCCAGCGACCCCAGCGTGGCCTACCTGCGCTCCCTCGAGGAGTCCGAGTGGCTGTCCCAGGTCAGCCCTGGCTCCTGTCCCCCCCTTTGCCCCAGGCCGTGGGCTCCTGTGCTCTGCCCTCCTGGCCACCCGAGGACGGGGGTCCCAGTCCCTGCCCAGAGCATCCCTGGGACATGGAGTGGGGGGCACGGCTTGGTGTGAGGGACAGGGATGGAACAATCCAGAGCTCTGCTCCGTGGTGCTGGATGTGGGTGCTGCAGGTCTGGGGCAGCTGCTGGATGGGGAAGCCAGACAGGACCCCCAGGGAACGCCCCTCTGGAAGGGCTGGGACGAGGCAGTGCCAGCAGTGACCGGGGTCACCAGGTGGCAGCTGCCTGGTGAGACTGGTCCCAGTGTGAGCTGTGGGAGGGGTCCCACTGTGGCTGCTGGAGGGAGTGAGGGTCTCCTGGCTCTGCCGTGTCCGAGTGTGGGGTTGTGGCCCCGTGCGACTCCCGAGCGTGGCCTCGCTTGGGAGAAGGGGACAGTGCCCCAGCACCCAGCACAGGAGTTCCCTGCACCCTCCTAACACCTGGCCCTGCCCTTGGCAGATCCACAAGATCCTGCAGATCTCGGTGCTGGTGGTGGAGCTGCTGGACACGGGCTCGTCCGTGCTGGTCAGTCTGGAGGACGGCTGGGACATCACCACGCAGGTGAGAGCCCACCGGGGCCTGAGGTGGCTGTGACCCCCCCTCAGCAGTGCCTGGAGCCCCCTGTCCCTGTCCCCATCCCTGTCCCTGTCCCCACAGGTGGTGTCACTGGTGCAGCTCCTGTCAGACCGGTACTACCGGACGCTGGAGGGGTTCCGGCTGCTGGTGGAGAAGGAGTGGCTTTCCTTCGGCCACCGCTTCAGCCACCGCGGTGCCCAGACCCTGGCGGGGCAGAGCAGCGGCTTCGCCCCCATCTTCCTCCAGTTCCTGGACTGTGTGCACCAGGTGAGCCCCGGGATCTGTGCCAGCGGGACCCCTGAACATCGGGAGCACTCCGGGGGCAGTGGGAGGGGCCCGGGGCTCTGTGTGGTTTGGGATCCCGGGGGTCCCACCTCGCCGCTCCCCACAGATCCACCTGCAGTTCCCCATGGAGTTCGAGTTCAGCCAGTACTACCTGAAGTTCCTCAGCTACCACTACATTTCCAACCGATTCCGGACATTCCTGCTGGACTCGGACTACGAGCGGATCGAGCTGGGTGAGGGCACCGTGCGGGGCCCACGGGAGGGCACCCAGACCCCCACCCCAAATAACACCCCTTTCACCCCCTGTGCCCCCCAGGGCTCCTGTATGAGGAGAAGGGTGAGAGGAAGAGCCAGCAGGTCCACAAATCCATCTGGGATTACATCGACCGGATCAACAGGAAAACTCCCGTCTTCTTCAACTACATGTTCGCGCCCGAGGATGGGGAGGTGAGAGCTCCTGTCCCGGGGCAGCCAGGGGGGCTTGGATGGGGTCTCTTCCCTGCTGGAGTGGCTGGAGTTGGTGTTTGCCCACCAGGGAAGGGACCTTAAAGCCCATCCAGTGCCACCCCTGCCATGGGCAGGGACACCTTCCACCAGCCCAGGTTGCTCCAAGCCCCGTCCAACCTGCCCTTGGACACTTCCAGGGATCCAGGGGCAGCCACAGCTTCTCTGGGCAACCTGGGCCAGGGCCTCCCACCCTCCCAGCCAGGAATTCCTTCCCAATATCCCATCTCTCCCTGCCCTCTGGCAGTGGGAAGCCATTCCCTGTGTCCTGTCCCTCCATGCCTTGTCCCCAGTCCCTCTCCAGCTCTCCTGGAGCCCCTTTAGGCCCTGCAAGGGGCTCTCAGCTCTCCCTGGAGCCTTCTCTTCTCCAGGCTGGACACCCCAAATCCCCATGTAGACACATTGTCCCCTCAGCCTGGCCGGGAACGTCCTTCCTGATCCCAACCCTGCCCGTCCCACAGGTGCTGAGGCCGTACAGCAACATTTCCAACCTGAAGGTGTGGGATTACTACACGGAGGAGACGCTGTCCGAGGGCCCCTCCTACGACTGGGAGCTGACGCAGGGGCAGCCGGAGCCGGTGGAGGAGCCGGACCGGCAGGACACCGGAGCCCCCCAGAGCAAGCGCAGGATCATCTGGCCCTGCTATGACAACCGGAGCCGCGTGGAGCCCGACGCCATCTCCAGACTGCTGCAGGTCGGGGCTCTGGGGGGACACAGGGACACGGCTCCGGCAGGGCTGGGATCGGGTGGGTCCCCGGGATGGGGACAGCGGTGCCAGGGATCTTGTCCCCGATGGGGCTGATCCTGAATCCCCCAAAGGAGCTGCACAACCTGAAGACGGAGCTGGGGCACGTCCAGGAGCGCTGGAAGGAGACGTGGGACGGGGTGAAAGCGTCGCAGAGAACTGAGACACGGCAGGAAGGCAGCAGGGTAGGTGGGGGTGTGACAGGGGTGTGACAGAGGCTGTACTGGGGGGTGTGATGGGACTGTGACAGGGCTGTGACAGGGCTGTACTGGGAGGGTGTGATGGGACTGTGACAGGGCTGTGACAGGGCTCTGGCATGGGCTGGAGAACAGGAGTGGCTTTACCCACAGGTGCCCTGAGCAAAGGGCTGTTTTCTCCCGAACCCCAGAGCCAGGGAAGGGTCTCGGTGCTGGGTACTCAGTGCTGGGTTCTGGTTCTGAGTGCTGGTTTGGATGCTGGTGCTCAGCCCCACACTGGGGCTCCCGGGGGTCAGGGCCCCCTCCCCGTCAGGCCGTTCCCTCTGTTGCAGACCCCCAGCTCCCTCCTGATGTCCTCGGGGCTGTCCCACCACCGGCGCTCGCTGGGCGTGTACCTGCAGGAGGGCGGGGTGGGCTCCACCCTCAACCTGAGCCTGGACAGCGACACCAGCAGCACCTCCACCCCGTCCAGCGGGAAACCGGGCGGGCGCCGCAGCACCTCCACCCTCTACAGCCAGTTCCAGACCTCCGAGAGCGAGAACAGGCAGGGGGGGCTCGGGGGGCCGGGGGAACCCCTCCCTGGGGCGTGAAGTGCTGCAGGGCACGGCCCTCCGTGGGTTCCCGTCCCTGATTTCTGTTCCCGGTGCTCCTTCCCACCGTGCAGGTCCTACGAGGGCTCCCTGTACAAGAAAGGCGCCTTCATGAAGCCGTGGAAGCCTCGCTGGTTCGTGCTGGATAAAACCAAACATCAGGTACTGGGGGGGCGAGGGGGCCCCGGGGTCTGTCCTGTCCCTCCATCCCATCCATCCCTCCCATCCCAAATCCTGACAGGCGCATCCTCTCTCCCGCAGCTCCGGTACTACGACAGCCGGATGGACACGGAGTGCAAAGGGGTCATCGACCTGGCCGAGGTGGAGTCCATCACCCCGGGGACCCCCACCATGGGGGCCCCCAAGACAGTGGATGAGAAAGCCTTCTTTGATGTGAGTGTGCCCTGGGGGACACTGGGCAGGGCTCCGGCTGTGGTGCCGTCAGGAAGGTGGTGGGGATGAGAAAATCAGGTGGGAATAGGGCTGTGGTCAGTGGGAGTGGCTGAGAGCAGCATCGCTGCTCAAGTGGAGATGAATAACCCAGGCTGAGCTTAACTGGGCCCCTGAGGCCACGGGCAGGGTGCGGATCCCAGGGGAGGTTGCCCAGGCAGTGCCCCGGGATGGTGGGAGGACGGAGCGGGCTGAGGGGCCCTGCCTGGCTCAGCTCCCGGCCCCGCTCACCCCCTTCCCCTCCCGTCCCGCAGCTGAAGACGACAAAACGAGTTTACAATTTCTGCGCCCAGGACGTGCAGTTGGCCCAGCAGTGGATCGACCGCATCCAGAGCTGCCTGTCGGACGCGTGAGCGGCCCCGCGGAGCCGCAATTCCAGGCACGGCTGCCGGCCCCGAGCCGGGAGCAGAGGCAGCGCCAGGCTCTGCCTGAGCCTGGGACTGAGGAGAGGAGGGGATGGCCTCCCTCCCGCCCGCCCCGGGCAGGGCGGGGCCGTTCCCGGGGGTAGGACGGCGCAGGGAGGGATTCCTAAGGCATCCCTCGAGTTGGAGCGGGCGGGGGGACCCGGCCCCACCCGGCCCTGTCTGAGCCCTGTCGTGACTCCGTGTCCTCCGTGTGCCCGAGCCCCATCCCGCGCCCCGGGCAGGGGGTCCTGGCCCTGCGCCCCCCACCCCACACTGCTGGAGGAGCAGGAGCTGCCCCCTCATCCTGCCACCGCTTGCATGTCCTGCCAGAGCCCCCCGGAACCTGCCCTGCTCCTCCCACCGGGAGCGTGTCCTGGGCTCCGCTCCCGTCCCCGTCCCCGGGGATGTGCAGGGATGTGCAGCGCGGGGGATGGCGGCGGTGACACAGCGGAGCCCTGGGACCATCCTGTGTCCCAGCCCCGGAGCCCCCGCGCTCCCAGCACAGGATCGGGAATGCTGGGATGCTGCAGGCGCCGTGTCCCGGAGGGGATGTGGCCGTGGCCGTGGCTGGAGCCCCCTCGGGCTGTGCCGGGGTCCCTGTGCTGGCTGGGACAGTCTCTACCTCCACGGCCAGACCGGCTGTCCCGGGGGGGCACGTTCCCTGTGGGAGGTGCCAAATGCTGGAGCCTCCCGGGTGCCCCTCTGGCCCCTCGTGTCGGGGGGGACCGGCCCAGTCCCCTCCCCAGGATGAGGGTCCCCTCGGGGCGGCGGCGATGACGGGGCTGGCACAGGCTGGCACAGGGACAGTGGCCCTGCAGGTGCCACCCGGTCTCTTTGCACAGGTCACCCCCCACAACCCCCTGTGTGAAGGGGGGGCAGCACCAGGAGGGCACCACACGCGCTGAGCTCTTCTCCCCCCACCCCAGGGCTCTCCCCTGCCCCGAAGCCCCCCATGTTCCCCCCTCTGTGCTCTGCCTGGGGGGCTCGGCTGGAGCCCCCGGCCCCCCGGAGGGCAGCTCCGTGTCCCCCCCGCTGCCCCTCCCCACTCGCTGCCGTGTCAGTGACGGGGGACCCTCGGTACAGACCCTGCTCCTGCAGCCCCCCCCGCACTGGTGTGAACTGGGGGGTTCAGCCCCAGCCCGGGGGCCGTGGGGGGAGCCCGACCCGGCACCGTGTGGTGGCTCCGGCCCCGCTGCCCCCCCGGGACCCCCCCCGCCGCCCCCCCCCCCCCCCGTGTTGTTTTTAAAGCCCCCCTTCCCCGTGCAGAGCCCCTTGTACAGTCCCCGTTCACTGCCCCAGCCCGGCTGTGCAGGTGTAACACGGAGGTTTGTAACTTACCTGAGCAGTTGTAGATTATTGAAGTTTCTGTACATTGTGTCAAACATGCAGAGTCCTTGTATTGTATTTGTGCCTAGAGGAAAAGGTTATTCTATAAAGAGAAAACTAACGGAATTTAATAAAAAAATTAATATGACAGACGCCCTTTTGTCCCTCTGAGCCTCCGGAACTGGGAAAACACCACGGCAGACACGGGATCCAGGCTGAGCTCCTGCCCTCGGGACTCACTGTCCTGTGTCCTGGGACAGAGCTCAGGGAGGGATCCTGGCACAGCACTGGACACACGGACGGACCTTTGTCCTGTGCTGGATCCGCTCTGTCCCTCCTGCCACCAATCAGACCTGACAGGAGGGGGGAGCCGGGGGGGGTCGGGCTCTGCTGCCAGGGAACAAGGGACAGGCCAAGGGGAAACGGCCTCAAGCTGGGCCAGGGGAGGGTCAGGTTGGGGCTGAGGAGGAATTTGTTGGTGGAAAGGGTGGTGAGGCCTTGGCAGGGGCTGCCCAGGGAGGTTTGGAGTGCCCATCCCTGGAGGTGTCCCAGGAAGGCCTGGCCGTGGCACTCAGTGCTCTGGGCTGGGGGACAAGGTGGGGATGGGGCCCGGGGTGGATCCATGGGCTGGGAGGGCTTTTCCAACCTCAGGGATCCTGGGATTGTGGGATTTGCCCCTCTCTGAGGGACTGGGCTGACGAGCCCCTGTCGGTGTCACCAAGGCTCAGCTGTGCTGGGTCCCTGCCTGGGCTCAGGACCTGCAGCAGAACCACCTTCCCAGGAAAAGAGGAGAAATTCAGGTTGGGCACTGGGGAAATCCCCTCTGGAAGGGGCTGCCCAGCCCTGGCACAGCTGCCCAGGGCAGGGGGGAGTCCCCAGCCCTGGGGGATTTAGGAGCCCTGTGGATGTGCCCCGTGGTGCTCCGGAGGCAGCAGCAGGGTCACCTCAGCCCCTGTGCCTTGGTACCTTCTCCAGGAGCTGTGATGCCCCAAATCCATCCCACGGAGCTGCTGCTCTGTGTGTCCTGCAGGACGAGGAACCCACCACTGGCACGTGAATTTTGAGCTTTTATTGATAGTTGGAATTTACAGCCTAAAACTGACAACATAGAGAGATGCAGACTTTTTTTTGTTTGTTTTTCCTTTTTCTTTTTTTTCTTGTGTTTTTTCGTTGCTTTTTTACAAAAAAAAAAACAAAACCAAAAAAAACCCCACAAAAAAAAAAACCAAACCGAAAACCAAAATAACCAAAAAGCCACCAGCATCAGATTTACAATATAAAAGTTTTGACAGTAGAGAGACTAAAGTACATCTGGAATTACTCAGAAAAATAAACAGGGCAAAAGGCAGTAATTTAAAATTTGTCCCTCATATATACACATAATACACAGACATTGCTTACAAAGACCCGGATTCAACATTTAAGGGCAGTTGGCATCATGAGAAAAGGCTCCCCCACGTCATTGCACTAATTAAGGACCCCCGGGGGCACCCCCTGTGCTGCCCCTTCCCGCTGGAGAGGCCGCCTGGAGCGGGCCGGGATCAGCTCCCGGGATTCGGGATCAGCTCCCGGGATTCGGGATCAGCTCCCGGGAT